AAAAATAAAGATGAAAACAGAGAGGGAGGCAAACCATAGGAGACTCTTAACTCTAGAAACAAACAGGGTTGCTGGAGGGGAGGTGGGTGGGAGGATGGGGTAAGGGCATTAAGGTGATGGGCATTGAGGAGGGCACTTGAAGTAATGAGCACTGGGTGTTGTACGCAACTGATGAATCACTAAATTGTACCTCTGAAACTAATAATACAGTATATGTTAATTAAATTTAAATAAAAAATTAATTTATACTTTATAAAAAAACAAAAACAAAAATAGTAGAGGTTGTGGCAAAAAGCAGTTGGGAAGAAAGTGTTAAGATTCACTGAAGGTACAGGCTAACCTACTGGCTGGCTAGATTCCTAGAGAGAAAAAGTGAAAGGGACACCTGGGAAAAGCACTCTCGGGAACAGAAAAAAATCTCAAACATTAACCTAAGGAGTTTTTCCTTCAGAGGAACCAGAACACATCAGTCTGTGAAGCAATTTATACCACAGGGCATCACTGAAAGCAACAGAATAATCAGTTGGCAATTGATGGAGCTTAACTGATGGTGTGGTCAGAGAAAGAGTCACGGAAGATCACATATTATACAAGATGTCTAGAATAGGCATATCTGTAGAGACAGGAAGTAGATTAGTGATTGCTTACGGATGGAGAGAGAATAGGGTTCAAGGGAATTCTAAAGCTAAAGGGTAAGGGGTTTATGAGGTGATAAAAAGGTTCCAGAATTGACTGTGGATTTAGTTCCATATATCTGAGTATACTAAAAATTACTGAATTATATACTTTAAATGTGTGAATTGCAGGGTATGTGAGTTGTATCTCAACAGAGCTGTTATTTAAAAATCAGCACAATGTAAAACAGTTTAGATGTGTCAGGAACACACCCAGGTTTCTCAGAACTACTTCCTCCCCCTTTTTTTTCTCTTAAATCTCAGTCTTCCCAGTCAATTCCCACTTTTGGTGAATGAGCCCCCTGAGGACCCTGATGGCACTTCCCAATGGCTCCAGAATGAGGATACTGCCAGGCTAAGGAAGAACTGCCTGGAGAACTTGTTAATAATGTATATTTCAAGTGTCATGCCAGAGATACTGAGTCATCAGGTTCACAACTGGGCCCAGAAACTTGTATTTTAAAAAGCATCCCAAATACTTTAAATGTTCATACAGGTTTGGTGACAATTCATGGCAGATAACATACTCCAGAACATTCTTTCTTAATTCAACTGGGCTGACTCCCTTTCCTGCCTCTGAATTCCCCACCTCAGACACAAAGAACTAACTTTTCAGAAGTTAAATCCACCTTTTATATATATTTTCTAACATTTTAATTAAGCAACAACTATACTGTGAATATAACAGGCCTACATGTACATTAAAGACTTCTCCTTATAAATACAAACACTGGAGAGAAAGCTCATTTTTAAAAAAGTTACTTTTCCTTTGATAGAAGACCTTTTTTTGGCTGCTAGGTTCTTTCAAAAATTATTAATTTCTGATAAGAATATTTTTAGGTTTTCATGCATTATAAAACAATTTCACAAAGGTAAAACTTTTAAAAATTAAAAAAAACTAAGAACGAACATGTCAGGACACATCACAAAACTAAGATAACAAAAATAGGAAATAAACATCACACAATAATAATGTGAAAACATTAAATCAACTTATTTAGGTTAAAGCAAAGTTAAATTTTACTTACAAGACATTTTAATGGCTTATGATTCATTTTCTCACAATTTCTACTGAGAAAACCTGCTGGATGAAGGCTTTAAGAGAGACTTGCTAAAAATTGGAATAAAATCTTTGGAGGCTATGAAAACATATCTTCAAGTGTTATAAATAGAACAGACTGTTACAGTTTTGAGATTGGAGGTTTCTAATCACGCTTTGAAAGTGAACAGTCTTAATGACTTTTAAAGCATCATTGTGTATTTTATGACATTATGATCATTCATTGATAGCTGTCAACTCAGGCCATTTAAATGCAAAAGTTCTTTCAAGAAGGAAACAATTTTAGTATGTTAGGGAAAACAGAATGCACCTCATAAACTTTTTTACTCTGTATCTCCTCTGCCAAAAGCTTATAATGGCTACATACAAAGATAACAGCTCACTGGAAACAGGATTATGTAACTAAAATATGCTTTTAAGGAACAAATAGGAAGGAAGGCAATGTCCAATGAAGAACTCATTCACATTCTGACAGAAGCCACATTTATGGAAATGATGGGGAATGTTCTATCGCAAAATGTCTTTTTATATTGTATACTGACAGAAGAAAAACCTGTAGGAGAAGAAGTCAGTTTAGCTATACTGGTTTCGTAAATGTAAACACAGGCATTATTTCTAAAGGATCAATGAACAAACAAGTTATTCATGCCAGTTAACAATGTCCTCTTCTCAGGTGAACAAAACAGTAGATAAATCTGTATTTTTATAGCACTGAACTCAATTTCAAAATCAGTGTATACTTTTACATGAAGTACTACTTTTCTATATTCAACAACAAAGACAACATAACCAGAAGACTCCCCAACTTCCAGAGTTGTAAACCAATAAATCTGCCCTTGACCTAAATCAGGTATATATTTATTTGACTTCTGGTACAAGGGTGGTAAGCCACAGTTGTATTTTAAATATAGCACTTTCCTTCTGAATAATGCCTTATTTTTATCTCCTATAAATTGGACATAAAATGAACACGACAAGGGATCTTATTTTTTTTTCTTAAGTCACAAAACGTAAACTTTAAGAATAACTTGCTTATACCCAAGGCAATGCAATACTCCAAAAGTCAACCAAATGAACTTTGAACAAATTTGGTCTTCTCAATAGTTTGCAGGGACATAAGCAGTGAAAATTCTAATAATACGGGGCATCTGGGTGGCTCAGTCGTTAGGAGTCTGCCTTCGGCTCAGGTCATGATCCCAGGGTCCTGGGATCGAGTCCCACATCGGGCTCCCTGCTCAGCGGGAAGCTGGCTTCTCCTTCTCCCACGCCCCCTGCTTGTGTTCCCTCTCTCACTGTCTCTCTCTGTCAAATAAATAAAATCTTAAAAAAAATATTCTAATAATACTACAATTGTTTTGTCTATTAAACCTTCTAAAATGGAACAACTTCCTGGCAGTGTGGAGGAACAAAGAATATGCAAACTGTAATAGTGAAATTTTACAGTAAGTTTAATACTGTACTGACAGCTAAAATGCATACCTCATGTTAAAAAATGTTGGAAAGCTCTCTGCTATCACTCATTATAAGGTATCTTGTGTTGTTTTGGCTATGCAAAGGAATTTGAAGAAATTAAAAACAGAGCTATAGCATATAGGAAGGACATCATAATCTACAGAGGAGTAAGGCTGGCCATTCCTTATTTAAGCAGATGGGGGGAAAAACTAGGCAGCTTTAAATAATTAGTAATTGAAGGGAACTGCTCTATTATATGTATGGACTTGATAATAAGCCCATTAACTGTGGTACAAAACAACAAGAACACTTTTTCAAACCAAAGTGTTCCCTTTAGGATTCTCTCTGTGGTTTCCAATGCTAGGTAAAAAAATTGGTAACCATTTTTTTAGAATAGGCAATATTTTCAGATGTTTACAGAGTACACATCTTTTATATTCATCACAACCAACCACGTAAAAAAACCTGGCTTTTTTTAACTGTGAAGGGCCAAGAAATAAAAAGTTTTAACAAGGAACATTAAGCAAAAAATTTTCTTACCATTTTAGGCATTTTTGTTTCCATCTATAATTTTCTATTCAAATAATATCTTGATAAATATAGCTAATATGGCCAGTTATTAACATTTGCTACCTGCTCTGTTAGCAAACCATATACTAGATGTATAGCCTACATAGACAGCCAGAATGACTTAGATACCCATTGCTTTAAGACATGACAACAGAATTAATGAGTTTAATTTGAAATTTTTTAATTTGAAATGTTTATGCAAACATTTAAAATCAAAGAATAGAATGGCATATAAATTACATATTCTATATATTTATATATGGTCATGACATATTCAAGTGTGACTAAAAGACATGGTTGGTGTGTAAGAGTAAATTTTATTAAGATGCCACCATAAATACGAAAAAGGCACATTTCAATTGATACAAATATATCCTGATAATCTATAATGTGAGAGATAGTATGTGATAAATTAATAAAATCTTGCAAGTCTTATCCACCAAAATTTCAGTGCCAAAGGACAATGCTGACTGTCCTTAATTTGGATTGAGATAACTTTTATTTGAATGACTTCTCGAAAAATGTTACCAAGTGAAATATAAATTCCTTTTTTTATGGTCTATAATGAGTCAGATAATAATTGCTGAGGGAACTTAACCATTTTGTGATTCAAATGGCTTGTAGAACAACTGAAGTTATGTCTATAGGAATACAGATTAAAGAGTATAACCTCCATGAACCAATACAGCAGGCCCACACACTTGGTGAACTGGCCTAGTATTTGATTAAAATGATAAATCATTGAATATGGCCAAAAGACAATCAAAGCAGACTGTCTATAATTCTGACACTTAAACCACTTATTTTTTACTTCCTAAAAATGGAAGGTATTTTAGGAGGTATAAAAATAAGAAAATTATTCAGCAAAATATGTCCAGTGGCTTTCCATCATACACAGAATAAAATACAAAGACATCTACCCCTATGTGATCTAGCCCCAGGCTACTTTCCACCTCACCTTTCACCACTCTACCTCACCATCATGTACTTCAGACTAGCAGCCTTCTTGCTGGTCTTGGAGTACACCAGGCACCCCAGGGCAATGGTGACTCTCTTTGCCTGGAATGCCCTTCCCTTGGTTATCTTCATCCAGATCTCTGTTCAGATATTACTTCCCCAGTAAAAACTTCATGACCACTGTATTTAATGAAGCACTGTCTGTCATTGCTCTCTACCCTACTTTTTTAATACTACATATCATTCCTTGACATTGTATCTTCATTTTGTCCATCTCACCCCACTAGAATGGCTAAAGACTTGCTGTGTTCACTGATGAATCTCCAGTGCCAAAAACAGTGCCTGGCACACATATAGGTGCTCAGTAAGTATCTGGCAAGTTAATAAAAAAAATGAAAACACATTTAATCCACAAATTCTAGTTGCACATTATGAATTAGGCACTCTAAGCTCTAGATACCCATATGATCTACCATAATCTCTCCTCTTAAGAAACTAAGCAGGAGGTAAAAACACAAATATGAAAACAACATGTTATACTTGGATAACATACAAAGAATTAATACATAGAATTATTAGGAACAAGAGAAGTGTTGGCCAATCACAATGGACTAAAAACAGTCCATTGTCTTTAATAAGTAGATCACTGATGACCTTAACCAAATGTGCCCTCAGTAGGAGACTACACCCAGTTAAAAACAGGTGAGGTAAGGAAAAGAGAACAATTTCAAGATTTTTTGAATAACTGATTTAACAAGTAGCATTTTCATTCTAAAAATGTAAAAGATTAATATTAAAGAATTTGTAACTTCAAGTGCTATTAATCTTTTCATATAAATATATATATGCATTAGTATTTTTTAGGTTATACAGCCATTAAGAGTAAATTAGCATACAGTTAAATTAAAATACGCACAAAACATTCCTTACCTGAATTTCTAAAATCATTCTTTCAATCTCATCTTGTTGGCTATCTATTATCTAAAACACAGGAAATATATCAGTGTGAATCAAAATTTTTTCCATTGCTTTTTAAAAGTACCAATATTTCAAGAAAACAAAAGCACAGGAAATAATGAATTTATCTTTTAAAAATCACGGTTTTTTTTTTTTTACAAAAGTATTCATACCAAGTATCCTTTAAACAGACATATGATTTAGATCACACATACATAAAACTGCAAAAGTCTTCCTCTGGTTCTTGATAAAACTCTGCAATTTATAAAAATAACTTTGAAACAGACATTCAATAATTTAGGAAGGAAAAGATATCCTTTTGTTTTGCTAAGAATATAATTTCCTTAGTTTGGCTTTTATGAAAATTTAAATTATTTAAATTTACTTAAATTGTCACTTTTTTTCCAAATAAAAAGTTCAAACTAAGCTATTATTACCAAAAATATAAAATAAAATAGCTATAACTTATATATCTATATGCAATCATCCAACATAATACAGATTTCACATTTATTACCAAAGACATGAACTGACCTTACTAGCATTCTCATTTTGTTCTCTCAGGTTATCATTTTCATTCTGAAGCTGTTTTGCATCCAACATGGGAAGGCGAATTCCATCTTCAAGGCATCTTTCTACTTTTTGCTGCAAGCTGTATGTTTTAGAAAGACAATTAAAGACAATCCACTCTGTGTGCTGATTTTGGTAGATGACTTCAACATAAATGAAGTCCCTTCTTAGGGTCAACAGTATTTTTTAATCAGGCAATAATCGAGACCTACTGCCTACATGAATACACTCAAGTACCTACACGTCACGCAAGTAAGAAACATAACGGAAGCTGACCACCTTTTCAGAAATGGCAGATCTGAGATGAGAATCAAGAGTTGCTTAGTATGTGACCTCCTTAGGCCCTAACAAAGCTCCTCATGACCCTAGTGTGAGCTCTGCAACCTAAATCCTGTTCTCTCCTCCTCCCCCAGAAGCAAGGGTTCCTTGGTTACAATGAACGCGTTAGGGAACCCAAGAATAAGGACATGTGTCTTTTGCCTTCATTCTGAGCTTAGCAAAAGTTTGTCCATGTGGACAGTTGTGGCCAAAACCAGTAGAATTATATTTCTCCTTCATTGGTAAGAGCAGCGATCTATTTACTACTTTACCTAATAGTTTCTCATGCTATTCATGGCACAGAGTTGCAATGCAGAAGAGGAAACAACAAAAGGAAGCCCTTCTGGTACGTTATATATAAAAGATCAAAAGGTGTTAGTCTTGAGAAAGAAAGAACAGTCACGTTTTGGTTAAAAGGAACTACGCCATTAACAATAATGACCAAAATCAAAACAGACAGACACCTAGGAATAGTTCTACTCTAGATTATAATATTCAAGAGCTGCAGACTTCCTATAGTTGGGGTTTTTTTTTCTTTTTTTTTTTTTTAAAGCTTTTATTTATTTATTTGACAGAGAGAGACACAGTGAGAGCGGGAACACAAGCAGGGGGAGTGGGAGAGGGAGAAGCAGGCTTCCCGCTGAGCAAGGAGCCCGATGCGGGGCTCAATCCCAGGACCCTGACATCATGACCTGAGCCGAAGGCAGACGCTTAACGACTGAGCCACCCAGGCCCCCTGAGGTTTTATTTTCATTATCTTTCTTCTTTCAAATACTATGGCTTTCTTGTGCTTTCTCTCTCTTTCAAAAAAAAAAAAAAAGTTAAAGAAATGCCATATCTAGATTCTGGATAAAGAATTGAGTCTTTAAAAAAAAAAGAACTGACAGTCTTAACATGGTACAATAAGGGCTTCCAATATGTTAATAAATAATGGCACCAGAGAAGTTTTTTATGTATTATGAATGCAGTGTACTGCTTTGTAATGTTTTTACTTATCATAAAAGTATTTGCTTTTTCAGTCTAAAAGTGAAAAATACATCATTTCTATTTCAGAATAAGTTTTTTTCCCCTCAATTCAGGGGCAAAACACTACTTGTATGTATTTATAACATTCCAAGAGAAATAAATTATATTAAAACTACTGAGGTCTTTAAAAAAATGAACCAGCTATGAGAAGGGAACAGTGTACTCTGTAATGAAAAAATACCAAACAAGTCTTCTTTCACATACACATTCTCATTTATGTTATGAAGCATGCTCACTTAGAAAAGTAATCTCTTGAATAGCGAAGCTACCGACTATTGCATTATTAGGGACCCCATCCACATATTTTGCTTCCATTTTTATTTCTAATGGAAAACTTTAATCTGATTTTTAAATACCAAAAGTTCTTATATATATTCATAAAGCAATTAACTTAGAAATATTATATAGGCACAGATAAATGTAATATAATTCACAGTCACATGTACATCTGAAGTTCTTCTGGAACCAAGGAATACTTTATCATATAGCTGAGGAAGCTGAAATAACACCCCAACCTCCACAGTTAAGTGACACCAGAACCATGTAGGTACTGAAGAATTACAGAAGACCTTCTTTGGTCCTTCACATCTATATGAATTCAAGAGAAATTTTCTGGGATGCTATCATATCAGAGAGTACTGAGGTAAAGAAATGAAACATGGATTCTGAAATGCACGGTACTAAGTCTTTCTAATCAACAGTACTAGGCTCCATGTTCTCTAAAAACCTAACGAAAGAGAAAATCTAAATAAAAAAAAGAGAAGGTATAATATATTAAATATGTAAAAGCACACAATGGAGCAAAACAAATTATTTTCAGGTGTTTCCAATTCTGTTCATAAAATGGCACAGCTTGAGATGTGATCAAAATGCCCCATAAAACAGAACAGATACATTACCTCTTCTCATTTCATCTAAGATGAAAGAAAAAGAATATATGGTTGAGTAAGTGGAGGTAAGGAAGCTGTTTTGAGACTAGACAATAGAATATAAGACATGGAGTTATGGAAAGGAAATTTAAAGAACAAGAAAGCAGAAAATAAAGGTGAAAATAAAAGTAAAGTTAAAAGTATATGAATTTTTTGCAGCTAAGATTAGAAACGCTGAAAGACTAAACTGTCCCAGAATCAGAGGTTTTCTATACTGAAATCTAAGGAAACAGTAGATGAGGCATATATAAAACTTTCAAAGTAGTAAAGCAATATTAACGTGGAATTATCAGATGAATTTTGATTAGAATTACACACAATTGGTAAAAGCATGAAGAGTATTTCTTAAACTTAGTTTTGTTGCTTTATTGTCTTATTCTTCTGGATAGTTTATCTATTAATAGTTGATCATTTATTAAGGTTTAATTTTTATAAAACAGAGAGTACATGTAGATGCATATATAACACAGTTCTCTAGGTTTTTCAGGAATCCAGTATTAATTTTCCAGCTTAAACACATTAGCTAAATGTACTAACACGTGATATTCCCTGTCATTCTAACTGTATTAATTTAAAAGAGAAGAGTACCATGAGGCAAGATACATGAGTAAACCTGGAAGGTACTTGGCAAAATGGCCATACCTGCTGCTCTGCAGTAAGTTAAAATGGGGGCCGATTACTTCACTTTAATCTATCACATTAAGGAGTGCGGTTTGAGTATCTGACTGCCCTTTTTACTATCTAGAATTTGTACCTATTTTTTGGCAAAGCCATCAGGCTGTGTTAATACTTTCAGTTTTCAATTGGTGGGGTTTTATTTGATGGGGGTAGATTTTAACCATTCTCATCTAAAACCTTTGGCAAGATGTCAGGTTATTGCATTAAGATGTGAAATCACAGCTGAGACAACCTGTTTCAATGACGTAATACTTACGGTTTTTAAGAGTACATCTTTAAGATAACAATATAGTAATAACTAAAAATTAATGCATTTTAAGTGAAATGCTTTATGAGAAATATGAACAACAAAAGTAAGCATAAAAAATTACTAAAGGTTTTCTTACCTCTGAACTGTAGTTACCAACTCCTTTTCTTTCTTTTTCTGGCATATTAGCTGTGCCTCTTTTTCTTGATACTGTTTTTTGATCTCTTCAAGTTTTTTTTCCATATCTAGGAGAGTCTCTTGCAAATTCTTATTTTTTTCTTCTAGAACCTGAAGCTAAGAGAATTCATAACACACAGAATATTAAATGTGTTTCTACTAGAAACTGTTACAGTGTCCTCAATTAACAGTCTTGTGGTTAAAATCACACTATACTTTCTCTAGAGTATTTAAAAATACTTTATTTCCTCTTTTGTGTGTAATGGGAGCTAGGAGAATGAGATTATGGAGAAAAATGGGGTCAGAAATTTCTAGAAGACAGGGGTGGCTGGGTGGTGCAGTCAGTTAAGCAACCGACTCTTGGTTTCAGTTTAGGTCATGATCTCAGGATCCTGGGATTGAGCCCAGCCTCAGGCTCCGCACTTGTGTGGAGTCTGCTTAAGATTCTCTTCTCCCTCTGCCTCTCCCCTCCATGCTCACTCTCACTCTCTCTAAAATAAATAAAATCTTAAAAAAAAATAAAACAAAAAAAGAAATTTCTAGAAGACAGAGAGAGAAAGGTAAATGATCTCAATTTGGGGGTATTTTTTAAATTTTATTTTTAATTATGGTAAAATATGCATAACAAAATTTACCATCTCAACCATGTTTAAATGTACAGTTCCATAGTATTTAAGTACTTTCACACTGTTGTTCAACGAATCACCAGAACTCTTTTCATCTTGCAAAACAAACTCTATGCTCATTAACAACTCCCTTTCCAGCTCTGCCCTCAGCCTCCGGCAAACACACTTTGACCTTCTGTCTCTATGAATTTGACTACTCTAGGTACTTCATACAGTATTTATCTTTTTGTGTTTGGCTTATTTCACTTAGCACAATGTATTTAGGTTTATCCATGTTTCAGAATTTCATTCTTTTTTATATCTGAATTATATGTATATGTGACATTTATCCATTCACCCATCAGTGGAAACTTAGGTTGCCTCCACCTTTTGGCTACTGTGAATGTTATTATGAGCATAGGTCATGTACAAACATCTGTTTGAGACTTTGCTTTCAATTCTTTTACCCAGAAGGCAAATTGATGGTAATTTTTTGAGGAAACATGGTTTTCCATAGTGGCTATACCCCTTTACATTCCCACCAATAGTACAAAAGGATTCTAATTTCTCCACATTGTCACCATTTTTTTTAAGTCAATCTAATGGGTGTAAAGTGATACGAACACGTTTTTAAATCTATATTCCTCTCTGTTCCTGCTCATAAAAACTCCTGTGGTACTTCTTTAGTTCCTTTCTGACATTATCCTCTCTTAGTCTTGTAATTTATAAATTAATATAGACAGAGGATCCATTCTAGGTCTAGAGTCTGTACAACAATGACACTCCACGGATTAAACCAATGATTCTCAACTGAGAGTGATTTCTTCCCCCAGGAGATACTTGGAAATGTTTATAGACATTTTTGGTTTGGGGGAGGGAGGAGGGCAGGAGCAGTGCGATTGGCATCTAGTAGGCAGAGGCCAGAAATGCTGTTAAGGATCCTTTAATGCACAGGACAGAATCCCAGAACAAAAAATTATCCACCCTTGAATGTCAATAGTGCTGAGGTTGAGAATTTCATAATGAGAAAAACTGAGAAAAGACTGAAGAATAGGTTTAACAGATTTATAAATAAGATTTCAAGAAGACAAGCTTCACCAGAGTTGGTAGAAAGACTCTGGTGAGGTATTGTTAAGAAAGAAAAATGGTAAGAAGAGGTCAGAGGAGTGAATGGAGACCACAGACTAAGGTATAAGAATTTATGGAAAGGTTAAGAAGAATGAAAACAAATCAAATATCTGGAAAGATGGTTAAAAAAAAAAAAGTCTTGTGGAGCTTTGGTGGATCACAGAGAATACTGGGTAAAGTCAGAACTGTTGTGCACCCATGTGTGTATGGAATGGGGCTGTTAGACTGGTTTAGAAATTACCTTTTAGAGTAGATGTTAAGTAAAAAGTTAACACAGGTTTCTTAGGAAGGTAATCATATATTAGTAAGAAAGACAAACTCATCCGTAAACAAAGTTCTGATTAAAGTTAATCCTCAAAACAGCAATTAAACACATAGATCTAACATAATTAGCCAAATACGTAACTAAAATTTTAAATTATAAAAATTATGAAATTTCCAAAGGGTCAACTTAAGAACGTAGTAGGCTTTCATGTTATTTAAAGATGAGCATTTTAGTTCATGTTACCTGTAGACTCTGACTCTGTACATCATCTAGAGTTGGAAGATCAGCCAGATACTTTTCCAAGGTCTCGATTCTTCTCTGCTTTTCTTTGTTTTGTTCGGATTCCTTCTGGCATTTCTTTTTCAGGCTACTGATATATCTATCTCTGGTTTTAAGCTAAAGAAAAAGATGATGAATCTTCAGGAGCTTTGTGGCATTAAAAAAATAATAATAACAAAACCAACAGTTCTAGGATATAGTTAAGGCTACCACCAACTCAGGTAAGATTCACATTAATTCATCAATTCTAAGATTCACATTTTTACAAATTTTCATATCACTGAAGTCAAGAGTTTTGAAATTTGTGTTTGTCTGCTTTTACAATTGATGGCATCCTTCACACTGCAGTGGACCAGCTATCAGTAATGATAGTTTCTATCACCAGCACATGTCCACCCTTGGTCAAAGCTATTCCTATCTCTGTCATTTCAACAGTGTGTACATGTTGCAACTATGTGCTCAGTTTAAATGATGTTTAAATTACCTTAAAAACATTACATTATAATTTGGTGTTGAAAACAGTTACTGAGTATCCAGAAAGACAAAGAAACAGAGTCACAGGGTATAATTATAAAATCAGTGAAGCAAATACTCATTTCCGGAGAGAGGACTCCAATTCCTTATTTTTTACAAAGCTACATCCAAATGTTTTATGTGACTTAAGAAAGGAAGATACCTACAAGTAATTAAAGCTGTTTTGTTACTAACTTGCTAAGAAATTGCTTATCATGCACTCAAGAAACACAATCAAAGCCAGGAGAACTTACCAAAATTACCAGATACTTGGGAAGAAATAAGGGCACTAGTAAGATCAATCATACCTCCAGTGAAGACTACTGTTAAGGTATTATGTCATAATTGAACATGCAACATATTTTCTTTCTCAAAATTACATATAAAAAAGGTGTGCTGTACCACTGATGTCATTTTAGGATTGATGGAATTTGTTAATTGAACACCTACTATAGAATACATACAGTACGATTCTAGTAAATCCCAATTTGTGTAGGCTAAAACCTCAGATCTATGCACTAATTTTTTTCACCTTTCTACTTGAAAAATATCATTTTTAAATTTCATATCATATATTCAAAGTTCTTTAATGTTTCAGCTCAATTATAAATAATGTGTGTACTACAAATAGTGACCTAAAAAGTAAACTCCAGATTCTTATTCACCTTAACTTACTAGTCTTCCAAAATTTAGAAACTTACAGGGTTCTAAAATATTTTTACAGCCTTTTCGCACATACACCAGGGTAAATAAGGGCCAGTAATTGGTAGTATAATGGTTTACTCTCCCAAATTTTATTAAAGCTAACACTTTGCACAATATAGTGTCTTTCATACCTTATTGAATTTCTTTCAAGTCCAATGTATAACAAATTGTATTAAAACAACTTCAATTAGAAAAACAAACCACATCTCATTTTTTAACGGAAAAACAAAAATTGATTTATTTTACTTTTAAATTCCACACCACAACATTTTACTGAAAATGAAGTGATTTTTAATCTATAAATAAAAGACTCTCTAAATGATACTCAGGATGTTTTACAAGTTTGGTTTTAAGATAGATTTGAATTCACAACAGGTCTTACACACAACGGTTTCAATCAATTGGGCACTCCGGAACACAGTGTAGAGGCATAACAAGTGTGTGACGACTTCTTAATAGTCCCAGGGGATAAAGACCTTTTTCAAATATGGAAAGAAATTAGTCTTTCTACAGTATTAACCCCTAAAAGCTATTCTCCTTTATAGACAACTATATTATTGTCAGTTTCATACACTTTTACTTTATAAAGAACTCCCAGAGGAAGAAATTTCTGGAGGTTTTCCCAGATATATACAGCTACATTTTCCGTTGTGCTTACAACATCTGCAAAGTATGGCACATCCAGATCCAAATTCTTATGATCAAGGGGCTTCATAACTGCCTCCTCCATATACTCTTTGAGGTCAGTCAAATTCATAACCATTCCTGTAACAGGATCAATCTCTCCATGCACCGTCATCACAACTTTATAATTGTGCCCATGGCCATTTAGATTGTTGCATTTCCCAAACAGTTTCAAGTTTTCTTCATTACTCGGAGATTTGCTGTGGAGGCTGTGGGTCGCGCTGAAGGAGACCAGGCGGGACACCCGCGCCCGGCGGCGACAGCCCTCTCCGGCTCCCGCCGCGCTCATCGCCGAGCCTCCTCATTCGGCTGGCGCTGGGGCTGGAAGACAGCGCGGCCGGCGTCTGCGCAGTCAAACCACATCTCATTTTATCTATTCATTCCATCAATAACATTAGGATCCATTTATTATCTTGGGTAAGAAGCAACGCTGGTAAAACTGACAAATCCTATTATTTATTGGAGATTTCTCGGGATTAAAGGCCAGTGTGCTGGTGTGACAATTTGTGATCTAACAGAACTCACAGACTGTTGACCCTGATAATGACCTGCAAAACCACATAATACAATTCCCTTTCCCCCCTTCTTCTCTCTTTTTTCACTGAAGTATAATTAATATACAGTGCTATTTTAGTTTCAGGTGTACAATATAATAATTCAACCATTCCATACGTTCCTCAGTGCTCCCCAGGATAAGCGTGCCCCTGATCCCCTTTCTCTATTTTACCACCCCCCCCAACCCCCACAGCCTCTCTGGTAACCACCAGTTTATTCTCTGGATGAGTCTGTTTTTTTGGTTTCTCTTTTTTATTTGTTCATTTGTTTTGTTTCTTAAATTCCATGTATGAGTGAAATCATGTGGTATTTGTCTTTCTCTGACTTATTTCATTTAGCATTATACTCCCCAGGTCCATCCGTGTTATTGTAAACAGCAAGATCTCATTCTTTTTTACAGCTGAGGAATATCTGGTGGTGTTTACATACACATCTTCTTTATCCATTCATTTATTGATAAACACTTGGGCTGCTTCCATATCTTGGCTATTGTTAAATAATGCTGCAATAAACATGGGAGTGCATATGTCTTTTTGAATTAGTGTTTTCATTTTCTTTGGGTAAATACCCAGTAGGGGAATTATTGGATCGTATGGTAATTCTATTTTTATTTTTTAAGGAGCCTTCATACTGTTTTCCACAGTGGCTGCACCAATTTGCATTCCTACAGACAGTGCACAAGAGCTTTTTCTCTCCTCACCAACACTTGTTGTTTCTTACATTTTTGATTTTATCTGTTCCGACAGGTGTAAGGTGATATTGTGGTTTTGATTTGAATTTCCCTGATGATTAGTGATATTTAGCATCTTTTCATATGTCTGTTGCAAATGATATACCTAATAAAGAGTTAATATCCAAAATATACAAAAACTTATACAACTCAACACCAAAAAACAAGTATGATTACAAACTAAGCAAAGGATATGAACAGACATTTTTCCGAAAAAGACATGTAATTCCTTTTTTGAATATGAGGCCCAGAGATCTTAAGTAACCTAGCCACAAGTCACTGAGACAGAGGTGAGATATAGATATAGATCATTTGACTGAAAGGCCAGTGTTCTTTCAATTCTTCCACACTACACACAACCAGATTTCCATAAATTCTCTAGCAACCAGCTGTGCCTGGATTCCCCATTGACAGAGCCTGCTCCTGCCTTAGCAGATGACCCTGTAAGTTACAGAAATAACTAACCAGCCTATTTTTACTAAAGGTTCCCTAATTTATTTTTAATTTTTTAAGTGTCTTAAGTGTGACACAATGACGTCCTCCAAAAGCAGCCAATGGAATAGGTTAGTCATGAGGTCTTATACTATGCAATGATGTCCTGGTTTTCTTGTTTTTCTTTGGCTGGTCAACTGTCTTTTTTGCTATCAGGCCAAGCTTGCTGCCTTTGACACAAATCTCTGCCAATCTCTCCAACCGGATACTATTTATGCTATTTGTTGACTATAAGTTGATCACACATAATTACTGGGTCTTGGGGTTTTTTTTTTAGCCCTCTTCATTGATGAGAAGCTCTTTGTGTGTGTGTGTGTGTGTGTGTGTGTGTGTGTGTGTGTGTGTAACTTTCAAGTTTAACATGTTGATTACTAAAATCAACTCCAGTAATTACCTCCAGGTAAATGAATCATTAATAAATATTCCCTATTTATAAAAGGTTAAATTTTTCCTTTAGAGGAGATATTATTTAGTACTGAGATTATTCCTAGAAGGTAATAGGAGGGCTCTGTTTTCAGAAAAGGTTTACAAATGAATATATTTTTCTTCATTTTAAATAGTTATTAGAACAAAATAGATTACTAAGAAAATGTTTTCCTCCAAGTTTTTTTTTAATAAATTATTATTAGAAGCAAAGCATCAGCTGTAGAATTAAACTGTCTTGAATTTTACTCCTAGCTTTGCAACAGTTTCTACCTACATGCAACCAGACAAATTACTCAACTTTTCTCCAAGCTTCAATTAGCTCATTTTTAAAAATGGGGGTATAGTATTTACACCTTAGGGTTTTTGTGAAGATTAGTTAATATTAAATGAGAAAATGTATCTAATGCACCTTCACATGCTGTCTGGCACATACAAGAAAGAACTTATCAAACAGTATAAATTCTATTGTTATTATCACATTAAATGTTTTTCTGTCATAGTATCAGTCTTGATCAGGATAACAGAGAGGAAATGCAGAAGGAAACAATGCAATCCAATCTCATGTGGGCCTAACATGCTGGTCAGTTGATGCATTACCCATGAGTCTATTTACTAGCATCTATACTCCCTTCAAGAATTCAAATTATCTCCCGGCCTCTGACACAAACTCTGCTATCTACACCAACCCTCCTTCTTAATTTTTCTGTTCTACACATTTCCATTCTCAACTGCCTAACTCCACAGAGAGACTATTCCTCTTTTCCAAAAGTAATTCCTCCATCTTGGCATCTGTAATCAACCTTTCCCTATTTATCTCAGGAATTTGCTCTATCATACACTCCTCTGACATCTTTGATTATCTCTAATTATTCTTTCCAGGGTCTTTTACTGGGCTTATCTCACTCTCTTTTCTTCCCTCTTGGCAAAAATCACTTGAAAGCATTCATGCATTCATTCATTCATTCAATATGCCAGGCACCATGGCTGGTGCTACATATGCTACAGTGACAAACAGATATGTCCCTGCCATCCTGGAGCTTAAAGAGAAATATTAAAACACAATGATTATTCAAAATTGTGTTAAGCACTGGAAAAACAAGAATAAAATGCTCTAAACTTATGAAAGGAGGGGTTGGAGGAGAAAGATATTTAAGATGAGACTTGACAAAATAAATAGGTGACTGAGTAGTGGGAGAAGACAGTCAAGTATTTATCAGGCCAAGAGGAAACTCTGTGTCAAGACTCTGAGACCAGAAACAAATCATGACCTGTGTAAGCAACTACAAGCACTGCACCATGACACACTGTACTCAAGGGAGGCTGACAGAGCCTAAGGTTACGTATTTATGCAGGGTCTTTCTGGCCATGGGAAGAATTTGATTCTTATTTTATTTTATTTTTTTAAGATTTTATTTGACAGAGAGAGACACAGTGAGAGAGGGAACACAAGCAGGGGGAGTGGGAGAGGGAGAAGCAGGCTTCCCGCTGAGCAGGGAGCCTGATGCGGGGCTCGATTCCAGGACCCCGGGATCATGACCTGAGCCGAAGGCAGACGCTTAACGACTAAGCCACCCAGGTGCCCCTGATTCTTATTTTAAAGACAACACCGAGATGGCATTGCTGGGTAATGTAAGTGAAATGACTGGATCTTCCTTTTAAAAAGGTCAGTCCTCCACACTATGAAGAATGGCCGGGAGAACGTGGAGCAACTGGCTCTCATACACTGATAGGGGAAGTGTTAAATGATACAAACACTAGGAGAACTCAGGTTTCTTTTTTTCTTTTCTTTTCTTTGCATCTCACAGGTACATTTATTCATACCACAAAGGAAAGAGCACTTTCACAAGTGTACAGTGATGTGCCACACTCCCATCTAATAGAGCTTACTGAAATATACAGCCAGGGTGACATTCCATCTGATGTGTATTCCAGGTAAAGCTGGTTAATAATAAGCAGGCACAGGACTTCCAAGTTTCATTTCTTTATCAGCACTCCTGATTTTATAAATGATTAAGCCCATCAACGTCATTCCTACCCAAAATCTCTTGGTGAACTTGGGTATAGTTGGGCTTCATGGGAATCTAAGCATTTTTAATAAGGCTCTGAAGCATCTCAGCACAAGACGACTGGCTCGGGGTGCCCCAACCCACAGGGCCAACCCAGAAAGGTCACTAAATGTGCAGAATTCAGATAGTTTCTTATAAGTTATTTACCCTATGAAATGTATGACTCAGAAATTCCACTCTTAGGAATTTATCCAGGAGAAATAAAAAATGTCTGGTATAAGAATGTTCACTGCAGCCTTATTCATAATTTCCCCAAAATGAAAACAATTCAAATATCCATTAACAAGAGAGTAGATACATTGTGATCTATCTATATAATGGAATGCAACTCAGCAGCTGATAGGAACACATTTAACAATGAGAATAAATCTCAAAGATATTAAGTGAAAGAAGACCAACACAAAAGAATATATATAGTATGACTCCATTTATATGAAGTCCAAGAAGCTTCAAAACTAAACTATGGTGATAGTGTTTCAGAAAGAGGAAGGAGACTGGACTAGAAAAAAGACACAAGGGAACTTTTTGGGTGACTGAAGTGTTTGTTTTTTTAAGTAAACTCTATGCCCATCATGGGGCTCAAACTCATGACCCTGAGATCAAGAGTCACATGTTCTACTGAATGAGCCAGCCAGGTACCCCTGGTGATTGAGATGCTTTGTGTCTTAATTTAGATAGCAGTTATACTGCTATATATTATCAGTAATACCAAACTGAACACCTGAGATTTATAATTTGACTATATATAAATTATGCTTCATTTTTCAAAATATAAAAAAAAATACATGGCATTAAAAAAACAAAAAAAAAAAAAAAAAGTGATTGGAGATAGAGGGAAAGCAGACAGGCAGGGCAAGACTGGATTCAGAGACACCAATGAAGAGACTCTTACAAAAGCTTTGCTAAGATATGATAACTTAGACCAGTCTGGTAATGTTGGACAGATTCTATTACATATTTAGGAGACAGGCTTAATCAGTGTTAATAAGATTCCCAGCATGAATAACTGAATATTCAGTAATGAACAATGAAGAAATTTTGTTTTAAGACGAAGAGGGCACTTGGAAGGCAAATTAAGAATTATGTTTTGGACGA